GTTATTTTTGTTAAATTTCAAACAATAAAAGCAAGTTTCTATACATGCATAAGATTTTCATGATTTCCTAACACAAATATTGATTTAATTTTTTATAATAAATATATACTTTCCAATACTACAAATAATCCATAAAATCTTTCCAATCTTTATTTATAGTTAAGTTAAAGAATAATAACTAATTTGAAGCAATATGATTAAAGTGACATAATTAAGGAAACAAATATTTCGTATTTTGAAAGGCTAATATTGTTTTTTTTTTTATGAAAATTAAATAAAATCGATAATATTTAGCTTGACGTCAATTATGAAATCAATACAAACATTTTAAAAAAAAATCCGATGTACAATAAAATATTGTGCACCTATTATAAAAGCTACCCTGTAATGAATGAAAGTTATTTATGCTTTACTGATAAAATTAACCAAAATAGTCTACAAGTTATCCTAAATTCAATTCAAGTAATCGGATGAACAAAAGTTTTTGATAAAGATATAAAATAGTGTAAAAATTACTTTTATCGTTTGTTGTACTCCTTGACAAATACTGAATGCTGAGCCGAAATGTTGTCTTGGAAAAAAAAAACATAATCTTGAACATAAATTTAATTTTAATCGGCCTTTCATTTTCTATACAATGTCTTTTACAATGACCTTTTATTTTTCTTGCAAAAAAAAAAAAAAAAACTGAACCTATAACCAATCTAAACAAGAAGAAAGGGATAGATATAAAATGTATTATAACTATTACTCATGTTTTAAATTGTAATATTCGTATTAACAATGCTATTACTTATGAATTTTTTTTAAAAAAACTAACATTTTGATTTAAAAATCGTGCATTGCTCATGTACTATACTAGATATACAACAATCATGTGCAATAATTTATGTTGTTTTATACATAATAATACTTTTAAATATAATAGTATGTGTATATAATATAATATTTTTTATAATATAAAAAATTATATGTTTATAATATAATATTTTATAACACGTGTCCTCCATACCAAGTGTAGTCCCAATCACCACTACACCAATTGGTTGTTGGTGTAGTACTGGTGATTGAGACTACACTTGGTAGGGAGGACCTATGTGTTCCCCTGCAACAACAATCGGAAGGGGAGTAAAACCTAATAACTAATTTGATCCTCAAATCTGGATTAGCCCAAAGGGTGAACCGGATAGAACACCCAAAACTCAATGCATATATGACGGGAATTAACTTATCCTTTATCTATCTTATATAAAACTCTAAAGTCTAATTTTTTTTTTCAAAATATAATAATAACATTTGTAAATTTTTGTTAATATGAAAGATATAAACCTATCAAAATGTATGTGCTCCCCTACAACAACAATCGGAAGGGGAGTGGAACCTAATAACCTAGAATTGATCCTCAAATCTGGATTAGCCCAAAGGGTGAACGGGATAGAACACCCAAAACTCAATGCATATATGACGGGAATTGACTTATCCTTTATCTATCTTATACAAAACTCCAAAGTCTAATTTTTTTTTCAAAATATAATAATAACATTTGTAAATTTTTGTTAATATGAAAGATATAAACCTATCATAATGTTTATATAGTTAAATTGTTTAATAACTTATATCGAATGCTTAGTTTTATTAAAATTATTTGCATGTAATCATTAAATGTGTTGGATGTTGTGTAGCTATGCAATGTCCAAAACTTTAGTTGAGCGATTTTGATTTAGTGATTGTATGGTAAAAAGATATTGACTTCGATCTTGAAACTTAATAGTCTAATAAATTCTAAATAGAAAAATTAAAACAAAAGGAAATGAAAATAGTAAATGGCTTTAAATATTGAAATAAATATAACCTTTTAAATCAATTTAGTGAATTCAATAGACAATTTTAAGGCATTTAAAATTAAATGGGGGAAAATATATGTAAAAAGAACATTTTTAGATATATAAATGTCCATAATGGGGGAAAATATATGTAAAAAGAACATTTTTAGATATATAAATGTCCATGCACTATTATAAGAGTTTTGTTAACCTTTTTATAATTAAGGTAGGGATAAATCTTAGTAATATATACTCTGTATACTTTATTTATATAAAATTATCAGTATCCATACCTATATACGAAGTATTTGTGTCGTATACTATATTTAATCAGTTGCTGGTTATACATATGACTATTATATAATATATAGTTTTTGGCACAGTGCTTAACTTAGAAAAATATAAATTCTGGTAGGTCAAATATAAGGTTATTATTGTGTCTATAGATCTAAAGAGTGCGACGGGTAAATAAAACATGTATATATTAGATTGATTGTAGCTACTGATGCTTGATAGTATGATAAGAAAATTTTAGTTTTTTCTCAATGGGAGATATAAATAAATTAGTCCACTTCTTATAGAACTATGTGAAGTATTATTCAATTATTTTTCAATTAATAAAATAACATTATAAAAAATTAAAAGAAATTCAAATAACATAAAATACTATTCAAATAACGTTCCTTTAATTTTTTTTTATTGACCATTAGTACAAGTCCTTTAATAGTAAATGAATTACCTTTGTTTTTATTTTTATTTTTCCTACGGGTTTAATAATTTGATTTATAAAATCGTGCATCGCACGGGCACTATGCTAGTATAATACTAAAACAGACATCAGAAAGACACTAGGAACAACACATCATGGTGCAAAATTTTCCCCTAAAAACTATTTTTCTTTTTTCTTTTTTTCATTTTAGCCATTATGGGAAAGTTTTTATTATGTATTGGTAGAATCTAATTATTTCCTTTTGTAATTGTTTCAACTATTATATTATTTCCTACGATTCAATATTTAAATTTATCAAATTTATTTCAAATTCAATACTCCGTATTATTTTTTAAATTGGTCAACATTTTTTTTTAACAGGTTAACATATACTTTCTTTTGTAGATAACTTAAAGTACAATTGAAATCATTTTAATTAATCTTATTTGTAGTTCTTTAAATAATTATATACTTTCAATAAAAAAAATAGATAATCTACAAAAAAAAACTTTGACAATACCAATAATACTATTGAGACAAATCATTTATGATCACCTATAATGGAATCCTAACATACATCTTTATGAATTTTTACATTGAATAATTAATTTAGAACGTTACTTCATTTATAAATTCTAGAATACAATAATTTCATTTATTATTGACAATGTCTAATTCTTTAATAATTTTACTATTATTGTTATATGTTTGTGCCAATTTGTGTTTACATACTACTCCGTACTATGAGCTATGTGATTAATTAAATTTGATTAAGTTATTTGAATTTCGTTAAATAAATCACCTTTTTTTTATTAATAAAGAGTAATTGAACTATAATATCTTTGTAATTCTTTAAAAAGCTTAGTAATATTGTGTGCTGCACGGGTACTAAAGTAGTTAATTCTAATTCTATCCTAAACTCCTTAAATATAAATACATTGTATATACTCCGTAGTTCGTAATATATAGTCATGTTAGTCATGTATATATATATTACCATGAAGGAATGCATTTTTGACATCCAATTGATGAATTGGTCATGCTTTCTAAGCAAATAGACTGAGAACAGTACGGATTGTAGATGGTTTCACCACTAAACTAAAAGTCTCACCACAATCAATGTCTACCCGTTGAGTCTTGCCATCAAGAAGGGCTTTATGCCTCTCAAAGTCACCATTAGATTTAACTTTATGAGTAAAAATCCACATAAAACGAATCACAATCACATTCGGAGGATAGGGCACCAACTCCCACGTCTTATGTTTAATAAGAACATTATATTTGTTAGTGGACCAACTCAACCAAAAGGTTAAGCTGATGGTTGAGGCTCAGGAATATGTTTTATACTCTATCACTCTCCCCTCACATGAAAAGCTCTTTGGGCTTGAAATGTGAATGCAACACAGGCCCACCCATACCTGGCGCGAATTAATTCCACTTTGAAAGAGGGGTGGATGAGATTCGAACCCGTGACCTTTATGTCACGCTGGCTCCGATACCATGTTAGTGGACCAACTCAACCAAAAGCTTAAGCTTATGGTTGAGGCCCACGAATATGTTTTATACTCTATCAATATTCATCATCCATGGCCATTTTCCAATTTGGATCTGGAATTAGGCCTGTACAAAACTATCCGGGAATCCGAAAATCCGATCCGCAACCGATCCGAGTTTTAGGATATCCGATCCGAGTTTTCATTTCGGATCGGATATCCGATCCGAGTTTTCATTTCGGATCGGATATCCGATCCGAAAAATCGGATATCGGATACGAATTCGGATACTGTTTTCAAATTTTGAGGCTGAATGGTGAAGGGTGAAATTTCGGTTTGTGGTTTTGATTATAGCCAAAATTGAATTCAATCCGAATTAATTCGGTTTTGGATTTCTCAAACCGAATCCAAACCGAATTTAGATTCGATCCAATTCAAACCAAACCGAATTAATTCAATTTTGCTAATTAGAATATGATCCAAACTGAAATTTTTTCCATTCTTTCGTAACATTCAAACCCGAAACTCAAAATTCACCTAAAAGTTCCTACAATCGTTGAATTTTTTCTTGTTAACTACATTCTTTGTTAGAAAGAGGTATTGAGAAAAAGAATTGAGAATTAGGGTCTTTTATTTTGGTTTATACATGAAAGGGCAAAGGGGTTGAGATACTTTGTAAAAGAAAATAGGCTTAATTTTGGTTTGTAATTCGGTATTCTGTTTTTTAAACTGTAAAAACATCGGTGAAAGACCCAACAAAAATTACAATTAAGACCAGATAAAAAGAGATAAAAGAGAAGGAGAGTAAAAGGAGAAAAGTGAAGGAAAACCTCCTATCTATTAATCTATACACTTTTATACAAAGTATATCTACGTCGATCCCTTTCAAATGAAAATCCATCATGCAATTGAAGATATTTAGAGATAAGAGTAATAATCAACTCATAAGGTTTTGTGAATTATAAACTGTAAATATATTAATAAACAATTATAATTAGGTGATTAATTATTGATAGAAGTCTTAATCTTCAACAACATACGTATTTACATAAGTACGTATACATTAAAACATGAAGTAGGATTGCCTAGAAAATTAATCTCTATTTCTTTTCAGTAACTATGTACAGAAGTAAGTCATATTAATATTTGCAAGTCGATCAACGTCCTTATGTAGATTTGACCTTCTCCAGCCGAAATGAGCTCTGAAAACATACACAAGATTCAGAATTAAATTTCAAGCAATGTATAATAGAATGGTTCTTAAGATCATTTTTCACTAAATCTTGTTATTTCTTGACAAATTAAATATAATAATAATAATAATAATAATAATAATAATAATAATAATAATATTATATATAGATTGATTAGTTATAAAGTCGATTTATGTATTTACCTAAAAATTGTGACTAGCTCAACAACATATTATACATATTGATTAATTTATTAAGTCGATTTATGTATGTATGTATAAATTGTGACTAGCTCAACAACATATTATACAGATTGATTAATTATAAAGTCGATTTAATGAGGGGCACTTACAAGAGTAGAGTGTAGATCTTCCAAAAGGGGCAAAAGTAATGAAATGAAAGCTTGGATGTCATTTTTGAAGGAGTCAATATCATCACCTTTGTCCATGAGTAGGAGAATAAGTGTACCAGTTTCAGGCACTAATTTTAGAGCTACCTGCATCACCAATCATTTTCATATATCATGCTATATTATATTTTACACCAAATTTCCCTACTACAACTCCACCAATATCATATGTAACGTATTTTAATTTTCATGACAATTCTACTCGTACAATTTAAGCCGTGTATTTCAGTTGTAATGCTTAGGTTTTAATTAGCCTTCTATGTATCATTTGTTTTTTATGATGTCGTGACTCTAGTCTCTACTAATTATTTAATGTATTTATCTTAAACTTATATAATGTTTCATTTGGATAAAATTACTCTGTATTTATTAGATTCGTTCTAATTAACTAATTTTGATAATTATTTCACTTTGTTAAATCATTGTTTTGAGTTGATATATACGAAGTATATACAATACAAAATAAAATAACATTTGAATATGCATAGTTAATTATGTAGAGTATTATTATACTCGTATTATATTACTCCCCCCGTTTCACAATGTTAGTCCCATATGCAATCAATCACATAAAATAAAAAAACAAATATATTTGGAATCTAACATTAAAGTACAACAGATTTCATAATTAGTTTACCTTATTTAACTTTTTTTTATTTTTCATTAGGAAAATACAAGTCATAATTGCATAATTTAAGGTAAAAATTTCCTTACCTAGAGTCATGTCATCAATACACAATCAATTAATTATAAAAAAAAATCAAGTTCAAATGAAATATATTCAATATGGGTAGATTTTTTTAAAAACGCCCAAAATAGTATATGGGACTAACATTATGAAACGGAGGGAGTATTAACTATATGTACTTTGTATATTAGTACTTCCTATAATTTTATAATTCCAATTTCAAATATTATAATTTCAAATATAATAATATTAATATTAATATTATTATTTATAGTCAATCTAATTGATATGAATTGTCTTTAAAAAAAAAATGATATGAATTGGATATACTACGTAAAATAAAATAATTTGTGTCGTAGACCATATGATACGGGGAAATGAAATTGAGGAGGAAGAGAGTTTAAGAATTTACTTTGTAAGCAGATGCTGAAATCCATCCATGCCAAGGTTTTAATGTGGTTTCGTAAGAATTGGCCACAATTTGCTCCATACTTTCCCTTGGTTCAGCTACTAGCTTTTCAAGTAATGCTGCCGTGAAGTCTAAGGTCCTTTAATATTCACATGAAAACAAATAATTATTTATTGTCCCCGCCCATAAATAAATTATACGCGAACAACAACAACAACAACAACAACAAAAAAAAAAAAAAAAAAAAAAAAAAAAAAAAAAAAAAAAAAAAAACATTCACATTATGGATATTAGGAGAATTTGTAAAAGAGATGCTATATGGTGGAAATTTATGAATGTAATAATATTCATTCCTTCAATTTATGCATAATTTTGTCATATATTCCTAAATTATTGAACTCTTAAGCTAAAAACACGTTCTAACAAGTTAGGAAAATCACAAATTAAATCACGTACCCCATAGGACCATATAATACTGAATTGAATTGAATGACATAGAGTTGCACAATTAAGTTGATCTTATGTATGACCAATATTAATTTCAATCATTATGACTCATTATCATGTTAATCATATATACGGAGTATAATCGTTCTTACTAAATAAGTTGAACTAAACAAGGCCTTAGTGTAAAATCGATTTCAATTCCTAGCGCTATTAGCTTGACCATTGGAACTTAAAAAACAATTAGCTTGACCAAGCAAATTAGTTTGGATGATTATTTCCAAAATTTTAGATATTAATTAATTTATTAATATTAATAAATTCTTAAAGCTACTCGTAATTGAGAAAGTTAAGCTCATTTAAATAACAAGTCATTAGCTAATCATTAGGGCACAAAAGAGCTACTACAAAGAGAGTTAGCTTAAAATCTTATGTGGCATGACAACCTTATTCGACAATTAGTTTACTATTTCATTATTTTAGGTTCGTTCTACATGGGATCGTCCAAGTCCCAATTTAATTTGTGATAAATTTGATCAATTTAAGGTAGCAGTTGATCCAATAGTGGCCTACTAGGTACCATACAGTTGTGAGGCTACAAATGCTAACATTGAAAGTGATACGGTGCAATTTTATTTAATTGAGTTTTAATTTATTTTTTTTTTTAGGAAAAATATGTTACTAAATTCAAAAACCAAAGCTCTTTTCTAATAGTTTTATTTAGGAGTCCCTTATACAATGCAATCGACCACCCTGCACATGCTCAGAACCACCCCTGATGGTGCCATGCATGCATTCATTCATGTTAGCATGTACAATTGTACAAATAATGGAGAGCATGTAGAGGAGACACAAAATTAAAATCTTGACCTACGAAAATGTACTGTTAATTTCATCGATTTGTCTTGTGGTACTAAAAATTATATAAATTACTCGCAGTATTTTATATTATCTGTCATTTAGATTTTAGATAATGTTACCTAGCTATCGTCTATAATTTAACATTATTTATCAATGAGTTATTATGGTTGGATATCAAAAACAATATTTGGATCAAATTGATATAAAATGGCTTTAAATAATCAAAATTGTTAGGGGATTGTGCAAAATAATCTAAAATGAGGGAACTGTGCCCAACAGTATTGTTTTTTCTTCGTTTTGTTGTTGGTTTATGGTTAGATGCTAAGAAAAATAAATTCAACTCTATCTTAACAAAAAATTTAAGCTAAGCAAATTAAGGGCCTGTTCTCTTCCGTTGAAATTCAGTTTAGTTCAATTCAGTTCAGCTCTTAATTTATGTCTAATGATATTGCTAATGAAATAAAGCCAAATTTTATTCTTTTAAGCTCTTATTACAACGAAAACAACAACAACAACAACAATAATAATAATAATAATATTAACAATAATAATAATAATAAATAAGTAATAAATAATAATAATAATAATAATAATCAATAAATAATAATAATAATAATAACAATAATAATTGAAATAATAATAATCAATAAATAATAATAATAATAATAATAATAATACTAATAATAATAATAATCAATAAATAATAATAATAAAAATTTATCAATAATTATTAATAATAATAATAATAATAATAATATTGATACAATTCATTGTTCAAATGGTTCTATAGTATATTTTTAATATATTTTCCATAAATTTTATAATTATATAGTATATTTTTCGTAAATATTTTAATATGTACATTTGTATATACACATGTGTATAGTAATAAATAATCAATAAATAATCAAAGATCACTAATCCGTAGTTAAAAATCACTAATTAATAAGTTCAGTTCAGTTCAGCTGAGTTCAGTCAATCGGAACAGGCCCTAAGCCTCAAGTCTTAAAATTTGGATGTGACATCATTTTTGGTGGTCCCCACTAAAAATGATGTCATCAGATCAAATTCTTGTTAAGACTCACTAAAACTTGTTCAAATGTATTACTTTAGCCCTAAGATTCAAATATATGACATTTTTTTATCTCTTTATATTTTCTATTTATTAAAAACATTAATGAGAGACTGTCAGCACAGGCTCCGCCATACTTAGCGCTTGATAGTATTCCACTTTAAAAGGAGGGGCTAGATGAGATTAGAACTTGTGACCCTTGTGTCACATTGATGCTTTTACCATATTATAAAACCTCTCAACCAAAATTATAAGCAAATGATCAATAAAGCCCATAATAAACTTATATACTCTATTAGAAAGTTATAGCTTAATGGTAAACTAAAAGAGCAACTTTAGTATTATCATATAAGAGTACTTGAAATTCCTTGAATGTCAACTAATATAACTTCGATTAACTTCCATTAAATTAAAGAATTGATTGATATGAGAGTACAGAGGTCAAAGTCCCTGTACATTATTTACTTTTTATAAGGACTTGTTCTCTTCACCTGAAACAAGTAAATCTGGTCTGAATTTTTTAAGGTCTGATCTGAATTTTTCTGATTTGGTTTGGTATGATCTGATTTAACAATTTGACTAAACTTTGACCGCATTTTAATACTAATCTATAAAGAAAAATATTATAAAAATGGATCTTTTTAGATTTATCTCATTATGAACTTTTTAAATATGTAATTTTTTAAAAAAAATTTAATACTCAATTAACGATATTTAGCAATAAGTAAATGATAATCAAAAGTTCTGATCTGGTCTAATCTGAATCTTTCTGATCTGATCTGAATTTATTAAGGAATACTCTCTCTGTCCCAGTTTACTTGCAACATTTTGACTGGACACGCTTGCCGATGCACATGTTTGATCGTTGATATCTTTTATTATATATTTATATAAGTTATAAAAAGTTTATATTAAGTAACTATACATTAAAATAGACCCAACAACATCTTACATGATTACATTGACTTTCATATAATAGTTAAAAAAGAGGGTCAAAAGGAGATGTGTGAATAGTGCAAAAAGTCAAACCGTTGCAAGTAATTTGGGACGGAGGGAGTAAGTAATAAGTATCTGAAATAAGTTGAAGAGAACAAGTCCTAAATCTCTTTACACCAAAATTCTTTTTCAAAAGAAAATTTTTCTTAAAACCTAGAATACATGTATATGTACTAGTATGTAATTATCAATATTGCCAATAGCAATTTTCTTAGTTCGGATTATTTTACACAAACCTCGAATACTTTATTAGACATACCATCAATTGTTATAGATTTAACACAAGATTTAAGTAAATTGGCATATATATTAGGGGAATAATACATACCTGGTTAGCCAAAGCAAGGCTTTGCTACAGCTATCACCTTTTTTGGCACATCGTTCAACTGCTTCTTTGTTTAATATCTCTACCAAATTTGAATATGTTGTCGGATCAGAATCGCAAAGCATCTCCAATCTCTAATTAAGGTTGGGATTCATGAACAAATGATAATTAATATATGACAAATTAATTATATGAATCTTGTCTATGAATTAGGTGAATTTTAGGAAATGGTAAGCAATATTCATGCCACTTATATGCAAAATTAAGAGGAAACAGGCAAAATACAAAATCCAACTAAATTTGTCTTTATGAAAACAAATATAATTATTTTGTTTTTCTTTTGGTTTAAATTGGTAACTTAGGAAAGCACCAAAACAGGCTAGATTAAATGTTCATTTTATTAACGTGATTTTTATTTAACTAAATTTGTTTGAACTTACTTGAGCTTATTCAACCTTTTTTAACGGGTTATTCAACCTTATTAGAATATTAATTATAAATTGAACCTATTAGTCAGTTCTTAAAAACCATTATCAGAAGCACTTGATAGTTAAATTAATTTCAAACCCTATTACAAGTTTACAACCATCTCAACCATTGCAACGACATCAAAAACAAACTTCTTCTAGCTTTGGATAGTTTTATGGCAAGTTGTTACTAATGAATACATAAAATATACAAGTAGAGTATATTTAGGGTTAAGCAGAATATTTCAATAGTCGAGCTTTTCTATTGATATCTTAAACAAGCAACTGTTTGTCAAAACAAATCATAATCTTGCATTCTTGCCAAGGCACAATTAAGATAGAGACTTGGTCTTGATTGATAACATTTTATGTCAACATTATTACCTTCAAAACTTCAAAATCCTTGTTATAAACAAGTATCACTAGACATTTAATATTAACATTAAACATATTCTATCGATTATTTGACAATCTTTACTGTTCTAACTTTTTTTTTTTTTAAATTTTTTTATGGAATAATTTACCTTATAATATAGTTTTATTATATCTATTTTTTCAAATTTTTTATTTTACATATTTTGACACTAATTTACCTTAAAATATACGGAGTATTAGTAATCAAAAGGTTGCATACATTAGATACATACTCTTTATTGTTTAAATTACTTAATTATTGATCCTTTTATTAAATTTGAAGGTATTTAATTTCTAATTTAATGGCATAATATCTCATGAATGTCATCAATATAAAGTTTTGTTCATACACTATTGCTTTATACTTTCTTGAAAATCATCATATATATATATATATATTAAATAATGCATCCCTATATCTTTAAGCCAATTATTTAAAAAAAAAAGGCTAACATAAAATTTGATGTCTTAATAATGTAAAAAAAAAGTGATTTTATGGGCAAGACAGTAATTTCCTATAGCGTAAGCTAGATAAGACAGTTTTTATCTATAAAATTTTGCCAATAAACTCAACTCCACAAAAACTGTTCAAGCTAGAAAGTAGAAGATGTATATTTACCTGAACATTCTTGTGGATGTCTTGTCTCATTACAGCCATGGTAGGTCCTATCTTATCTGCAATAATTTTACATAAATACGCAAACAATTATAAATCCAAAGATATAATGATGAATCGTTAAACATAACTATCTCCGACAAGATCCTCCCATCTTAAGATACATATGCATAGATTTTATTACGTACATTGAGTCGAATATAACAAAGTCTAAATTAAAAAAACTAAATTGTTATGATGATTAATTTTCATCGTTTGACTCTATATCATCAAGACATTTCAGATTAAAGAATAGGAAAGGAGAAAAAACAATTTATTAAATTTTTTGATAATCTAATCATATAGAGAAAAATAAATAAAGATAAAGAAGAAAACAAATTAATTCATGACTATACAAGTCTGTACTCCCTCAATTCGTAAATTACATTAATCTTCTAATAATTATTCCTCACATAATAAAGTGAAGTAAAAATGTAATTTAGGGACGGATGGAGTAGCAAACTACGCTACATACTGAAAATGAAAAGTCAATGGAAAAAAATTTCGTTGAGAGATATTTTTTAGTTTGAGTGCCTCAAATACTGTTTACCTTCAATTGATGTAACACCGTCGTGTTTCGGACTATATCAAACTAGTAATAATTTAATTAAAGAACACTTACTAGTGAAGGAGGAAAACTTAATTGTCATGTCATAATAATAGTAATATAAGCTCTCCAATAGTTACATAAACCCTAAAATAATTAATGACACCTATAAATCAAAATTCTCTTATAAATTGATTTTGTCTTACGTATCCAACCTTATAATTTTGATGTATGGAGTATGTATATTTTGAAGAGATGACATTTTACCTAATACTCCGTACTTTGTAATTTGAATTAAAATAACGGCAATTGGGATTTTTTTTATTTTTTTTATTTTTAAATAAGTCTTTTTATGTATTGTTGGATTGAAATTTACATTTCGTTGTTCTTTTTTAATAATATGAATGTAATTTTTTTTTTTGGAAGGTTCAAATGTAATCTAACATAATTTTATGTTCCAAACAGCCACTATCTCTATTGCTGTTCTCATCACATATATCCCTTTGTTTTATATTTTATCTTTCTGTTTTCTCATTAAAATTTAGGGAAATTTTGTGAAAAACTACCTATTATAGTCCAGAATTTGCGAGAAACTACCTATTAAAAAAAATGTTGTAATTGACTACCTAATTTTTTAAAAATGTTGTAATTTACTACCTTTACGCCGGATTATGAAGGAGTTTGACCAAAATTCTCCGGCGTTGACTTGGTCACGTGACACTTGGTGAAAGAAAAGGGTCATTAAGTGTCACGTGACCAAGTCAACACCGGAGAACTTTGGTCAAACTCCTTCATAATCCGGCGCAAGGTAGTAAATTACAACATTTTTCGAAAATTAGGTAGTCAATTACAACATTTTTTTTAATAGGTAGTTTCTCGCAAATTCTGGACTATAATAGGTAGTTTTTCACAAAATTTCCTAAAATTTATAAATCACCCGATTTTGTTATTTAGGAACGGAATAATAAGACATGCTACTATATTATGATAATAAGATGGACCTTCTCATGTATAGTTAAACTTGTGGTTAGTTGAGTAAAAGCCACAAAAAAAGAGTAAAAGCCACAAAACGACATGTATCATACATGAGGCATCCACAAGCCTGATTATGACTAGCAGGTAACCCAATTAAAGTTGAAAGCAACTTCTTCAAAAGAAGAAATCAATCAATTAATCAACAGTAGAAATTAACAGAGAAAATAAAATTACCAAGAACTTGAATGATCAAGGTGCATATTGACAGAAAAGGCCTTGTAGGTATATAAGAAACAACCCGTTCTTGTTGAATTTGATCTGTAGTCACTACATCAGCAACACCAGCATCAGCAGTCGCGACAACAGCATCAGCAGCCGCAGTGGTACCATCAGCATCAGTAGCAGCAGGAGAAGACAGAACCATAACAGAATTGCTGTTATTGTTGTTACTTAAAGTAGCGCGACGAATAAGTTTGATAAGCAAAGAAAGCTCTTGAATAGCAGATTTAATCTCTGTTTTCTTCTCCATTTCTCTCTTCCTCTTCATGATTTTGCCTTCAATAAAAAATAATCTTACCAAATAAAAGTCTTCTTTCTTGTTCAATTTATGTATGTATATTTGTGTAGTGAGAGAATTGCGGTGTGTTTTATTTCCTAGTGTTATAAAAAAAATAATGATGAGAAAAAGAGAGGCAAACAGAAGAAGATTACATTTTTATTGATATATTTTTAAGTCTTATTAGATTCTTTCTTGAAAATGTATTCAAATTATTCATAATCAACTCTTATTAATAATTTAATTACAGGGTGGTTTTTATTTTTAGCTGACCTTTTATTTAATGCTTGTTTATAAATTTTATTATATTGTCAATTATTATTAATTTTATACTGATTAAACTATTGATGGTGACCTCGAATTTGACCTAAGAGTAATTTTAAAATTTTAATTTTACAACCAATCATAAACAATGGCATGCAATTTGTTTAGTGTTATCTAGCGTGATCACTTGAATAATTTCATAGTATCATGACTATCATCTATACACATCTATATAAAGTAACTTTATAAGTTGATAATAAAACATATTACTACGAGTTTAGGACGACGACAACAACGAACAAAGCCTTATTAGTCCTATATTCCCATTAGTACCATATGGTCCTTCACAAAGTATGTTCACGGAAATTGTTTTAAACTCATTATAATCCATTTGAGAGTAATCGGAGAAATAGTGTCACATTATAAAGTACTTTTAGAAAATTTACTCCAACTATCACCAAGACACCAAGTGACTTTAGTATGGAACCTATCTTTTATTTGAGCCAGGTTTATGGACTGGACTCTCCTCTTTTTTATTTGGATTGCTCGGACATCAGGCCCCTTTTGTGTGTACAACTTCACTCTTAGAAAGTATCGGGGGTATGGTATATATTGATTGATTTTCGTGTGTACGTACACCTTCACTCCTAGAGAGTACGTAGGGGGTACGGTATATAATTAATGATTGATTTCAAGTTTTTAACATAAAGCTATAACAATATTACCAATTCACTTCATTCCATTATTTATAACCTTTTTTTTTTTCAAAATCTTGACTAGAAAAACATACAAGTAATCCTTAATATTCTTTTGAAACTAGTAATATAATACAAAATTACTTGGTGAGAAAAATGGTAATTAAATAATCCAAACAAAACATTGGGTTTAATCTTTAAAAATTTCTTATAAACAGTGGGATTCATTCCAAGGTTGATGGTTTTTATTTTTTTTTTATTTTATTTTATTTTTTATTTTTTATTTTTTTATTTTTTACATTATTAATTTTTGAAATGGTCCAAGAATGATGAAGTTCGATTGTATGTAGTAGAATTTACTCGATTAATAAAAAAAAATATGAAAGCAAATAATGAAAGATGATGTATTGATAATATATGAAGATGGTGCATGCATATCATATTTTATCACCTTTTGTATTTTTATACACTTGGATGATCAAACTTATCTTACCCCAATTGCTTCAATTCCTTTCCTAAAATGTTAATGAATGAATCCAAAAACACTTTAATTTGTTTTTTTTTTTTTTGACGAACACTTTAATTTGTTATTCGTCGTTCTAGATGAAAACTACCACGGGTCGAGGGGATTATTGTAGTATGTTCGTATGTTCTTGTAGTTGTAGTAATTTTTTTTAAAGGCAAAATTAAAGAAGTTAACGTGCATGAGAGATTTTTATGAGTCAATTTTGTAAATGGAAAGAAAACCTTGATCCATTAGGAATTTTCTCTACTCCTTGTAGTACAATATGACAACAACCTAATAACCGTTCAATGTTTTTTTTTTTTTTTTTTTTTTTTTTTTTTTTTTTTTTTTTTCCTCCTCCTCCTCCTCTACGAACTCGATCAAGTTCCTTGCAGTGATTCAATTCTCTCAAATCATTGCGCATTAGTACTCACTCAAAAGTATAATTACAACATCAGTTCTAGGTTAAAAGATTTTTATTATGATTTACGTACAAATTTAAATATGAATTTTTGAGCTTAGGATAATAGTTTGAGTGTATGAACGTTAATTTATTAATTTATTGTAATTTACAAGTAATTAGACTTGCAGTGGTACGGTGTAACCGTGTAAAGTAGTTGTCGAAAGAATATTTAGTTGAAGTAGTCAGCCAATTGTTGAAATTGGGACTATTTGTTTTTGCTCTTGAAAACGAATAAAGAATGTTTTGGCCAATTGTTCGTTTAGTTAGTATCCATTTCATGTACTTGGTGTAACACCTAGTTTCGAGATCCTGTTTTGTAGGTCATTTTAAATGAGCAAATGATCTCGGGTGTACGGTACACCTGGGTGTATATAACAAATTCAACCTAGTTTCTCCTGCTCACGTAAAATCATGAATGACCATGTTTAGATATATTCTTGTTCCATCATCAATCTTAAAAATGGACACTTGATATGGGTGAACGGGCTAGACAAAGAGAATGAAGTCTCTCCCATATTGTTTCTAGTGTGAATCCCTATCTTTTAAAAGGTTTGTGATAACTCTTTACTAATTTGCTTATTTTTCCTTATTAATGTTAATTGTCTCTTTTTAATTGACCTTCTAATAATATATATCCCTAAAATATTTGTTTACATATTTCCCTAATTAATGCTGCCAATAACTAGAGTTGTGATTAGGCCAATCCAATAGAGCTCTTCAAACAAGGGTACAAGGCTAGATATAATGCTTACATTTGCATGCGTTAGCCGCCCTAGTAGTGACAAAATCGCAATTGTTGTAATATTTAAATAACAAAGGAAGTATGATTATTGATTAATAATTAAATTTATGTTAAAAAGTCGCATACCAAATTTCCCTCTTACTTCAAGGGGTCAACGGGCCGATTAGGGAATCAAGCCGTTTAGGGGAGTTGAAGTTGACCTTTCTTTATATGGACAACATTTCAATCATTAGTATAAGTTCTTATAATTATTCTAATATTTGAATTTTTGGAATTAGTGGGAATACATGATTAAAGTGTCGGAACTTTGAAGTAAACTGAAATAATTAACTTTATAATTGAAATGAAAATATACGAAAGAAGATACGATACAATGTTTCTGTTGTATGTAATGGTGGAACTCATGAAGAACGTGACTATCTAATTATGATTATTGTTCAAAAGAGTGACGAATCTATGAACATAAGTGCTCCTACTAACTACCAACTAGTTTGTCAAACCTTTTTCAAGCTAATCATTACACTATTTCTACTTAAAATTTATGTCTTGTTTTATGTTTAGCATTTGTGAAACAGAATCCTTGTACATAGATTATGCTAAGTTGCTGACCACTCACTTATATTGTTCCCTTAATTAATGAAAAAAATGCACCAAATATTATGCAAAATGGGTTAAGTTGACATAATGAATGTGTCACTTGTGGCTAGGGATGGGCATAGATGGAATCTGGCCTCTAACCTTTTAATGTGGTTTGGACCCTACACAACCCATAAGGTTTTAAATATCCAAAAAGTGTTTGGTATAAGCATCGTAAATGAAATGGAAAGGATTCAAATAAGTAGGGGAAAAGGGTAATGATAAACGTTACCTTTACGATATGTTTGGTTTCCTAGTGAAATGGAAACAATTGGAGTATATTGTGATTGAGTAAGGAAACGTATTTTGTTTCCACTAGTTTGTCAAGGGTAACAAATTAGGGGATTTTGTTACCCTTTGCAAATGGTATTCGTTACTTTTAACCTATACCAAACAACTAGAAATGGAAACACATGATTGAATCCGTTTCCTACATCTAAAATTAGTATACCAAACGCCCCCTAAAATCTTATGAGTCTAGAGTCTTAAACGGATCTATAATAATAAGTCTTTGACTAGATTACTAAAAGGTTTTACATGTCTCCAAATGAATTTTAATTTGTCCACTTATTATATCTAACTAAATATTTTAAAGTGACATATTTATGTCAACTTTCATTTACTATCGCATTCACCATTTATTTTGGAAAAATTGGTTTTTAACCGTCCTAACTTTTGTGTTTTTGCTTTTAACTTGGATGGCTAATGGAGCACGCGTTATAGCTAGTTATGTTTGAAATCTTTTTCGTTTTGACCTTATGTAACAAATTTTGTTGTTAACATCATTAATGAGTTTAAATATGTAAACGAATATTTTTAGGGTATAAATGTCCGCACATTATTTTTAAGAGATATAAAAAGAGGTAATTAACATTGATGAGGATATATTGGTAATAAACATTTTTGAGGATATTGACTTTTATCAAACATTCAAAGCCAAATGTCTAGTGACCTGAAAAATCGGTTAATTTTTTTTATAAAATGTCACGCGTCATCGAGGGTGGAGAAAAGGGTTTAGAATGGTTTTTGAGGTGGATGTCTAGAGGAAAAGAGGGGGGGGGTGTTGTTTCGGGATGGGAGCCAAGAAAGGGAAGGGGCCAATTTTGGGTACGGAGAGGAGGGTGGTTGTTTTTGGTGTAAAGGAAAGGTAAGGTTGGTTTTCGATAAAGTGTAAAAATTGCATATATTAATTTTTTTTTCATTTATTTTGAATTTATTAATTAGGTCTAAGCACGAAACAATTTGTATTTGTAAGTGAAAATTGCATATTTTAATTATTTTTTTTAATGATTTTGAACTCGTTGATTAGGTCTATCTAAGTATGAAACAACCCATATACTTCCTCCGTTACGCATTATGTGCAACAAACCTTGTTGCACGTTTCCCAAGAAAAAATTTGTTAATGGTTAATTAACAAAGTGAAAGGGTGTGTGATTAACATAGGAGAGATAAGTGGGATAATTAACCAATCAAGGTCACCGACCACCACTTCCAACGAACTGCCATGGCTTCTCCCTAACACCACCTACCAGCCACCAGCAGCAACATCCACCCACTCTCCGAAACCACCACCACCACCCTATCTCATGACTCCCTCTCACCACCGCAACCAAAAACAAAGATCTGAAACCACCGCAACCAAAAACTAAGATCTGAAACCGACACAATCAAGATCTGAAACCACCTCAACCAAGTTCACCCAGTTTGCAACCACCACAAAACCACCCTTTACACACTCTCTCACCACCGCAAACCTCAGTCAATTTCAATTTCGAGGAGGATCGGCGACTATATCATGGAATAGGAGGTCGGTGACTCGATCGTCGGTGGTTTCCGAGCGAAGTGAGGAAATAAAGAAGCAATGTTAGGGTTTGGGTGGCTGGGATTGGGGTTTTTCTCGGGATCTCGGCGCGACAGGGGTAGGTTTGGGCGACAGAGGCGACTTGGGTCGGGAATTTCGCAGCGACATGGAGGGGAGGAGCTAGGGGGATTCGGGGTTGTGGCTGGGTGGATTCGGGTCGTTGCTGTGAGAGAAGAGAGAGAAAAGTGGTGGTAGTGGTGGTGGCGGCGGGGCTGGTGAGAGAAAAATTGGTGATAATGGTGGTGGATGTGGTTGTGAGGGAGGAGAGAGATTGGGATGGGTTTAGATAATTGAGTAATTAATTTTGATTTATATGTTAATAACATATAATCTTAGTCATTTAATATGTGTTAGTAAAGTTAACTTAGTGTACATTGGTAATTTTATGTAAAAAAAATTACTAAAAGAAGAAAGTTTTAGTTTGTTGTAGATAGTGTGTAACATCCGTTTTTGGAAAATGTTGCACATAATACGTAACGGAGGAAGTAATAATTATAGATCCACAATACCGATTGTTCAAAGGTTGATTCTTAGTAAAATAATTTGAGTTAAACCTGACCAAATTCGTTACCTTACTTGAAATGACCCAAAGTCTTGGCTTGAACTTGATAGAAAGGTTTATTATATTTATAGAACTAAGATCTTAGTTTAATCACATCAAACGAACAGATCAGATCAAACGAGATAAATTCATAAAAAATAAGATGAATAGGCCGAATATAGGATTAGATAAAGTACAGCAGTAGCAACTAACAACAACGGGAACAACGGTTACCATACCTAACTAAACAATGCTGACCACCGGAGTAGCACCACTCTCATCTCCCCGCTTATCAATGGCGCCTATTCTTAAACCACCGCCCATGTTAGCATCTAGCAGAGCTTCATTTCTATCGCCATTGTTAGGGTTAAGGTTTCCGAAATTCAACTCAATTATTTCTCCCAGAATCCAACGCCTTTCCATTAAAGCCTCCAGAACTGAATCCAAAGGCGTTTCCTTAGGGTTTCGACCTCCCGATTTTCAGGTTATTTCTTCCCCAATTTTATCTTCCCTTCTTAAAAATTGTGCGATTTTGTAATTATTTGTTTTTCCGGCGCAAATTAGCTTCCGGAGCCATTAACGGGGAAGACATGGACATTGCAAGATTTCGAAGCTTATCCGGCTTTATTGGTGAATTTTCATCCTCTTTTTCTCTTCTATTCTTTAATTTTGTGGTTTTTGTTGTGTGCTGTTATAATTGTTAATTTACTAATTACTGAATTTTTATTAGTTTGATCGAATTATGTTGTTTTTAATGTTGTAGAATATGTAAATTTAACTGGCAGAATTCATAATTGTAAGATAATATCATCTAGTTTTAATATATGTGAACTGAACTGGCAGAATTGTTTCTAGTTTGAAGATGGATGTTATTTTATTTTGTGGTTATTTTGCTGTGTGATGGGGAGTGGTTAATAAATTTGCTAATTGCTCAAAGCCGGATTTATTTGCTAATCGTTTAGATTATGTTGTTTTGACAAGGGATGTTCAAGTGTTTAGCTGGTGAAATTATTACTTGTTTGGAGATTTTATTTATTAATTTTTGTTTATTTTTGGTTGTTTGGCATCATGAATATGCACAAAGCCACTAATAGTTTTTCTATGTATTTGATTGATTGCATGGTTAGATAGTAGAGGGGGGGGGGAACTCTGATCCTTCTGAATAGGCCTTTCCTAGCTTATGTGTGAAAATGTTGTCTGTCACTCTGTTGAAATGCCGCCGAAGAGAGGAATGAATAAACAAAGGAATCTAAATGTGAATGGGATATCTGAAAGTAGGAGTTTTCTAAGAGCACCAGTCAACCAGATCGAAAAATAATGCTACGAGCTGGCAAAAGATGATTTTTTTTTTTAAAAAAAAAAAATTTAAAACAAGAGAATAAGAGACTCTTCATTTTTTTTTGTAAGCAACCGATAGATATTGTTAAAAATTTTAGACAGTATTCTTAACAAAAATATAAAAATTAAGACAGTATATGCTTAATTTGACAATGATTTTTGGACCATGTATATAGGCCTTTTGACATTACATATCGATCTTCTTATAGGATGATGTGTAGTTGACATTGGCTAGCAGTTGCTATTGGTTGATTAGGATGCATGCAATGTCCTAAAGGGTTGCATTCTTCTTCCCGGATACCATTCAGCTTTGCATATCTAGTATCGAACAATGAAATCCAAGTTCAACCTCAACATCAGTATGAGTGTCAAAGTTTTTCCCTTGGAGTAAGGAAAATAGATCTAGAAAATCTTACTCATGGCCCCTATGTTTTTAATTTTTCATTTTTTATTTTTTATTGACAAATTAAAATATTTTCAACTCAAAATTACTTTTACAATCAATCTCATCTATGAAGTGTCGGGCAAATTTCTAGGAATGATATCCGGCTCCTCTCCTTCCCCACTCCCCCATCACCGTCACTTATTAGATTAGAAGCCCAGGCAATTAATAGAGCTAATTTGACCTACTGCATCATACAAACTGAAATTCAAATATAATATCTTATTAATATATTATCATGTCTAAATTAAGCCACTGGTTTCATAATAATATAGCTTTGATTTCTATTTTTTACCAACCAAGACATAATAAACAAAGTATTGAATGTATCAACAATTTTTGAGGATTTGTTATTAAATCCTTCCTTTTAAAGACAGAAAATCTCCATAATGACTGTAGCATCAATACCTATTAATTTATAACTTTAGCCTTGAACTTTGAACCCCTACCACACAGTTACACACACAACAAATAGATGTATTCGCTATCTAATATGAGTATTTTTTTTTTTTTGTGGTATGTTTTTCGTATTGGTTTGTACTATTTGATACAATTAGATAAATTGATATACTTGTGCCTTAATGTATATTCGATTTCAATACATAGATACAGCATAATAGTGGCTTTTATGGAAGAGAGCTTTAAGAAAGGAAGGAATAACTGACGAAGAGACAATACTGACTAGTAGGAACTACTGAAATGTCTCTGTCAGTAGTAGAATATGGTAAAGACAAATGTGAAATGAAAGCCTGGGAATTAACTACCTAGACTGAAACCCAGTTAAGATGATCTTCTATTGAATCCCTGGAGGTGACAGAACTCTGTTAAGAGCTGTGTCTTGTAAATTCTAGATAAGTCGTGTAATTATTCACCACCTCCATGTTCGTCTTAGTGAGCTAATTCTCGTACAATTTTATTCTTCTCATTTCTTCTCATTAGAGCATCAAATCCATACATAAGATTATTTCATATTCTTTAAGCTAAACTATCTTTTTATTTGTGAATCATCTTTGTATAACACATTTCCTAAAAAAAAAATAAAATTGTATAATACAAAGTGTTAGTCTTCACAACTGTTGGGGATGTATGATTATTTTTTAAATTATTAGAGTCTGCTATTGTTTTCTTTGTTTTATTAGTCTTCACAACTTTGGGGATGTATGGTGATTCCTTAAATTATTATAGTCTGCTAGTGTTTTCTGTGTTATTCTCTAACAAATGGACTTACTGTGTAGGTTATGTTTATCTGCAATCATTGCCCATTTGTCATACATTTGAAAAAGGATATTGTGAAGCTTTCAAAGTTTTACATGAAGGTACAAGAATTTGCAGGATCATTCTGAAACAATTTCCTTATCTTGGTTGGATTAATGAGCACATGAGAACATTATTCTGCAGAAGGGACTTGCTGTTGTTGCAATATCTTCCAACTCTGTTGTTACTTATCTACAGGTTCACGCTTCAACTAAATCCTTAATTAAAGATTAATGGTTTGAAGAAGCAAAGCGTATGACTATATACATCAAATGACTTCACAGGATGGACCAGAATTTATGGCAGAAGAAGCCAAATTCTATAGTTATCCATTTCCTTATTTATATGACGAGGTGAGCTACTAACTTTTTGTGCTGCAAAATTTCCAATCAAAGCATTTTTAATATTCAGGTTAGATTGCTATCAATTAACTGGTTTCTTACATTAGATGTGCCTAAACGTTTGGGGGTACTACAACGAAGTAAGCAAGGAAAATTGCATTTATGAAGCTTCAATTCCTTATCCTTATTGCCTTATCTGATTCTTCACATGTTCCCTTCCCTTGTCTAATTGTCGCTTCCCGGGGGCAGGGTAGATCCAGCGGAGGAGTGAATAATGGTCAATGGCTTTATATTGAAAAAAGATGGTATGAGAATATCTGTACACATTGAGGTGCAGATGCCAAGAAAAATGGTGTAAAGCATGATCCCTTAAAGCTATTTTGGATATTTAACAATTTTTTGGAGTTATCATCTATACAAAGAGTTTAAGATGTTTCCAGCTGATATTATGTACTGAACTACTGATGAGTGATGGGTAAGTGACTAAGTGGTGTAAGCTTGGTCAAAATTTTCTGAAACTTAAAACGATGAAATAGCTGTTTGATAGTTAGGAGATTTACGACACCCCGTAGTTAGACATATTGAACATCATGCTAAGTTTATAAAACATATATTATGATGTTGATGTCACTTAAGGGAATGAAAATTCTATAATTCATGGTAATTTTATGGAATTATTATTTAAAATACAAAGACCTTTAAATTTTTACACCATATGTCATAATATCCCTGTACCTAAATGGAATTTTTCTACGCAATTACAGCGAAGAGAAAGTGAGCAATTCTATGGTCAGGCTATAGAGCTTTTAGAAGTTCATATGTCTGAGGTTTGATATTACTGAGAGCCATAATTATGACCATGGTTCCCACTTTCACAAAAGGTAGTCCAAAGCTACAATCAAGAAAATATTTGCTTCATTTTCAGTGGAATAATAGGATGTGTAGTTGTGCTGGGCCTGGTAGCCACAACAAATCGAAAAACGGAGTGCAGAGTTGTTTCGTGTCTGGGGAAGTGGGGCCAAGTTCATGTACGTGGTGTCTGACAGGTTTTTAGAAAGAAATAAGGGTCTAAGTTCATGGTGTCTTACAGTAGGTTCTGGGAAAGGTGAAATCAGGCAGAGTCTTTGTGCTTGTGGTAGTATGCTAGCAAGGGGAAATAGGCGGATACTAAGGAGGAAGGAGAGCTGGTGATGAAGTGATATGAAGTCTTTTACTTTTACCTGTTTGTCTGGTTATAGGTCACTAAGACCAATTTTAGAGATAATAGTTAACCTTGGGATTAATTAGAAATAATTCAAACCTAGAATTGATATGGAAAGAAGTCCAAAACTTGGGATTTTTATTGCCAAATTCTTACTTGATTATGAAGAGAAAAACAAGGTTTGCTATTAAAAAAAAAGATTCTTTTGTATCATAGTTTTTAAACCACCTTACAAACATAGGATAAAATTCTTTCATTGTACTCGAAATCAGAGAGTGATAAATTATTCAAAGTGCATTAATAGGATTTTTATCCTCTTACATTTTCTTGTGTGAGATTACGAGTTAGAGTGCCTGCTTTGCCTAACAAATACAAATGATGAGAGTAGCAATGAACATAGTTATTATAGTTGTTTCTTGGAGTTTGCTGCATGGACTAAAGTATCACAGCATAAGGTGTTATTTATTGATGTCAGTATGGCTACAGGACTTACTAAGCTGATTTGGATGAAGTTAGTGTGGTGTATAGATGTATTTTTTGACATCCCTTTGAAGTCTAGGATCTTCGTTTCTGAATATATTCATGTTTCTGTACATATGCTGATTCTTATGATCCTTAAAGTGTATTCCGGTATTCCCTCCATTTCAGAAAATTGGTTACTCTTCACAATCCAAGAAAATGATTGAAATATAAGAGAGATATATGGAATCTTGAAAAAAAAAAAAATTTAGAAAAAGAAAATTGAGATAGTGGATTCAAAGTGTAAAGATACATGAAAAAATGGAAGGAAATGTTTTTGGCTGCATATCTCAATGTATATAAAAAAAAAAAATACCATTGATTCGAAACATATGGAGTATTTAGTTGACTAAGTATAAAAATTCTAACACAAATACTCCATAGTAAGATTAAACTCAGAGTGATACATGGCCTACAGGCTTTGCAACTCTTGTTTTTCTTTCATCTTTCATTATTTAGCCTTGTGCGAAAGGCTTTTAGTTTTATGTGACTGTTCCCATCTACATTGTATTATAAAGATCTGAAGATCCATTGTAACTTGTTCCACTGTACCACATATTTTTCCACCAACATTGGCAATATATATTTAAACCTTACTATTCTTGTGGTTTTATTCTGTATATAAGAATTATGTACAGCTCAAATTTTGAATAGCCAGTGAATTTCAGGCAATAATCAATGACCTTTATGGCATCAGTTATCTATGTGCACTCTTCTATATTGCTACTTTTCTGAGTCAAAAAATTCAATTTCTTATCTAAAAAATGATTTTCTGCAGTCTCAAGATGTTGCACATGATTTTGGAGCAGTTTGCACACCAGAGTTTTTCTTGTTTAAGAAGGTTGGTTATTCTTGAGTTTTTAAGTTTATGGGGATAACTTGATATGCTTTGTTCAAATAACTTGTGGATCGCCACACATGCATTGACTGAACTATGTTTTTTGTCAGAATTATAGTATTATATTATTACTTCACAACTAGATGAGTAATTGATTTTGAGACAGGAGGGACGTAGGCCGTTTGAGCTTGTGTACCATGGACAGTTTGATGACTCCAGACCAAGTAATAATGTGCCCATTACTGGAAGGTTAGAACTTTGTGGCTCTTGACTTAGTGCAAAATATTGGTTCTTATTATCTATTTGAATTTGCTCTCAAAATTCAAAGGATTTTCCTTAGGGACTTGAGTATGGCAATTGACTCTGTTCTCAGCGATCAACCTGTTACTGATCATCAAAAACCCAGGTTTTTTTTATTCCCCCCTTTTCTAGAATCATTTATCACACTTGTATTTCTATTTCAAAATTTTATATTAGTCAATGTACTTTTTAAACAACAGCAGTGATTTCTTTTTGGCAGTGTTGGATGTAGCATCAAGTGGCATCCTGAGGTGAAGCAATAATTTGACCGGCCTTTTATTCTCTAAAACTTGGTGATGATTGTTTACAACCATAACTTTTGCTTTCAGGTTGGTCAATCTAAGATTTGATGAGCCATAATTCTTCATGGTGTATCAAAATATTTTTACTGTTTGTTGTATCATTGTTTTATAATGATGGTTGGCAAGTGATCAAAAATTTTGTGGGCTGCCCCATATAAATTGTATTGATAATGGTCTTAATCATAAATATAATATCTTTGAAAACGTTTCTTATTGATTCATTGCCTTTTAGTATGTTTGAACTTTGAAGTCTTTGTATAACGTGATCTCATAGTAACTTGTTATGAGTTAAGGGTGACTTTTGCCTTTTTCTGAATTTGAATACAAAGTCTTTGTATGACCCAGTTTTAAGGTTCTAGTCAGTAGTGACTTACACCATTTGAGGCATTGTCTATCGCATTAGTCGCCTTATGAAATCTAGATAAGTAAAGCACATCAAATGTTCATAAGAATGTCTTTTGGATCTATATTCAAGGATTGCTTTCATTAAGGTATCTTGTGTCAATGCCACCTAACTCTTAAAAAGTAGAGGAGAACTTCCTACTTATGGTGTGCTATTTTAGTCTTAGGACATCAAATTTCACTTTTAAGGGTCATGTCTAGTGTCTTCTATGTGGGATTAGTCTGCTTTCACAAAATTCTTTTTAGATGTATCTGGTCTTTTTCTTAACATGTATTCTCTCGCTTCCTTTTAATGTACTTGCACCATCTAGAAGTGTCAGTTATTGCTTCTCATATCCTATCACAAACAGAGGTTACAATAATCTTTGCTCTATGAACTTTTCGTATTATTCTCTCATTGTAACATCCAACAGAGCATTACTATGCCTGCAACTGATTTGTGAACTTAAGCATGTGATATAATAAAAAGTTCATCTCCTTGAGTCCTTGGGCAATTGCTGATCATAAGTTTGCCAGCTCACATTGATCCTTTTGTTTTATTGTTTAATGTAATGAGAGCAGACTGATGATTCACAGGCTACCCCAAAATTGTGTGGGCCTTTCTTGAATGGTCAAGGGCAATTGTTGACATTTGATACATCTTAATCATGTTGCTTCAACTTAGATATTGCTAGTGAATATGTTCATAGCTCACAGTGAACCAGCTTGGGAGAAATCCATTGCTTAGCTAGTTTTGTTGAATGGGTTTCTGATTTTAGGCTACCTCAATAGGTGGTTTTCCTCAAAAAAAAAAAAAAATAAAAAAAAACCCTCAATGGGTGGTTCAAGGTTAAAGGTCTTCTTTTGATGGATTTGAGGGGCTCAAGACCTGCTCTAGATTTTGCTGGTTTCTAGAACAGGTTTATATAAACATATTCTGAAACAAACTTTTGACTAAACTAGCCTTAACCGGATCAGATAAGCCTGACCTGGTAGCTGTTTAATTCTAATTAAGTGGGTTGCGAACCTGCTCATGACTCGGCTCCAGTGGCCTATTAACAGTCAACGTAACCCTTACCAAAGACGGTGCAGTGTGATGCCTTAGTGCCCATAACCAGTCTCGTCTCTGCCCACAGGTACCTCTATTTTATCAACAACTTATATATTTATATATAGGCTAGTGCTTTTCTGTCATGGATTGGGTCGAGCCTACACAACAGCCCATAACACAACAGCCCATAAGGGTATATGAGAGAAGGCGCAGAATCAAGGCACAAGATCAGCAGCAACAGCAGGGTACTCCAGAACAGGACAAAACAAATTAATACTCCACTATAGAATGTGGTGAAAGGACTGCTGCAGTGAAGGCCTCCCTTGTGGCAGAACAGGACAATGTTTTTTAATGCTAGGGTTGGATTGCTTGCATAAGGAGCTTGGTATATACAGTGAAGTAATGAAACAGTAGAGGCATGTTGAGAGAAGTATTGTAGTGAGTAGAATTTCAGTAGTAGTAGAGTAGTGCCTTTTTGTAGCCGTTAACATCCAAGTAAATCAAGTTCCAAGCTTTCCTCTTAACAAGACTCTATTTTTATTACTATTACATTTCTGTTACAACATTTGAGAGTAGCTAGTACATTGCAATTGGTATCAGAGCGGTACGATCATGGTGACACCAACGCTATCGCAACGAGCAGATGCGGTGGACGAGAAAATAGGGGAGGTAGAGTCGAGGTTGCAAACCTTGAAGCAAAAGTTCGACGCGCAGGAAGCGCACCTTAAAACGATTGCGGAGAAAATCGGCTCTCAAGAATCCACCATCGAGAGAGCGGTGCAAGCAGCGGTGGCGGGGGTGCTAGAGGCAGAACGGAAGAGAACGGAGGGTATGTTTGCCCGGACCACCACCAGACTGGAGGAGAGGATTGATAGGTTTAGGATTGAGCACGAACGGTTAGCAGCAATAGAAAGGGAAAACAATGAAAAATTTAGGGAGGAGGTGAAGAGAAAAACCGCCGGAGGTCAGGGAACTCGGCCACCGATCCAACAGCAACCTGTCGTCCAGCCGATCAACTTGGATGCTGAGGGAAGTCACAACCACGGCTTGGACGAGAACGAAGTACGCTCACCGATAAGGCGGGGCCGGAGAGGCGGTGGCCAAGGAGAAGGCGAGTTTGAGTACCACCACTGGCCGGGAGGAGGCGGTGGTGGCGACGGTACCGGCGGAAACAGAGGGCAGTGGAAACATCGCAAGCTCGATATGCCGGTGTTCGAGGGCACCGATCCTGATAACTGGATCATTAGAGCCGAGGTATTTTTGAATTTTATCAGTTGACTGAGAGAGAAAAATTAGAGGCTGCGGTGGTGGCTATGGACGGGGCGGCACTCAAGTGGTACCAGTGGGAGAAGAAAAGGAGGCCAATAGCAGGGTGGAACGACCTCCGACAGAGGGTGCTCCATGAATTTAGACCTTCTCACACAGGGTCGCTCTATGAACAATGGTTAGCAGTTGAGCAAATCGGAAGTGTAGAGGGTTATCGGAGAAAATACATCGAACTAGCAGCGCCTTTGGAAGGAATCCCTGAGAGTATCATGCTGGCCCAGTTTATTAACGGGTTGAAAGGTGAAGTCAAGACCGAGTTGAGGATGCTCAACCCGTTCAATCTAGAAGCAGCCATGGACCTTGCAAGTAGGATAGAGGAGAAGAATAGGGTTTGCCAACCCAAGAAGGGAAATTTTGGGCCTCCAAGGTTTGGGTCAGCCCAAAATTTCACCAACACAGCCCAAAGCAATTCTAACACTACCCCACCCACCCAAAATAGAGGATCCGGATTAATTCAAACTTATGGGGTCCCTAGCCATTCGAGCTCGACCCGACCCGGGTTAAAACCGCCCGAATCTCAAGGCTCGGTCAATGTAAATGGGCCGTCTGGGTCCTCTTCAACCCGCAACAACACCAGATTTACGAGACGACTAACAGAAGCTGAATTGCAGGAGAGGAGATCGAAGAATCTCTGCTTTCGCTGTGACGAATGGTGGGAAATGGGCCACCGTTGTCGGAGGAAAGAGATGAGTGTGCTTCTGGTGGCCGGAGAGGAGGAAGAAGAAGAGGCCGAGGAGGAAGAGGAAGAATCAGGGGCGGCGGTCGGAATGTCTCTATGCTCGGTCATCGGGATCTCAAACCCCAAAACGATGAAATTGAGGGGTGAGATGGCCGGAAAATCTGTGGTGGTCATGATAGACCCTGGTGCCACGCACAATTTTGTAGCGGTGGAGCTTGTGAGTGATTTGGCGATTCCGATCTCGAAAGGGGGTGAGTTCTCTGTTGCTTTGGGTAATGGGGAAGTCATTAAGGGGAAAGGAGTGTGCAAGAGAGTGAGATTGGCGTTGAATGGAGGAGTTGCAATAGAAGAGGACTTCCTACCTCTTGAATTAGGAAGCGCCGATGTGATTCTCGGGGTGCAATGGCTGGAGAAGTTAGGGGCGGTGACCACGAACTAGAAGACCCATGTCATGAAATTCAAGAACAAAGGTATGCCGGCTACTCTCATTGGTGATCCGTCACTTGAGAAGAGGGAGATATCCTTTAGAGCCCTGGTCCGCAGCTTGAGGAAGGAGAGACAAGGGGTTTGGGTGGAATTTGGGAGTCTAGAAGGAAAGAAAGAAGACCAGGGGAAACAGGGGATTCCACCAGCCTTCCTGACTGAACTATTAGAGGAATTTGCCAAGGTGTTTGAGATGCCGAGTGGGTTACCCCCAAAGAGAAATCATGAGCACGCTATTGTACTGAAAGGGGGAGCGATCCGGTGAGTGTCCGACCATACCGCTACCCTCAAATACAAAAGGATGAGATTGAGAGGTTGATTCAAGAAATGTTGCAAGCTGAAATTATCCGACCATCCACAAGCCCGTTTTCTAGCCCCGTGATTTTGGTAAAGAAGAAAGACGGAAGTTGGAGATTTTGTGTTGATTACCGAGCCTTGAATAAGGAGACAGTGCCGGACAAATTCCCAATTCCGGTGATTGATGAACTACTTGATGAGTTACATGGGGCCAAGTGGTTCACGAAATTGGACCTCAAGTCCGGTTACCACCAAATAAGAGTGAAACCCGAAGATGTTCATAAAACCGCTTTTCGCACACATGAAGGGCATTACGAGTTTTTGGTCATGCCTTTCGGATTGACCAATGCACCGCCCACTTTTCAATCACTTATGAATGAGGTCTTTAAGCCCTACTTGAGGAGATTCGTATTGGTATTTTTTGATGATATACTAGTGTATAGCAAAGAAGAGTTGGAGCATAAGGAGCATGTTAGAGTGGTACTTGAGACCTTAGCGAAGCATAGCTTATATGCAAATTGGGAGAAGTGTGAGTTTGGAAGGAGGGAGGTAGCTTACTTGGGGCACGTGATCTCGGAAAGGGGAGTTGCTATGGATATGGAGAAGGTGAGGGCAATTATGGATTGGCAGGAACCCAAGAACTTGAAAGAACTTCGAGGCTTTCTCGGCCTCACCGGCTATTATAGGAAGTTTGTGAAGCATTACGCCCAAATTGCAAAGCCACTGACCTCTCAGCTCAAAAAAGATAGTTTCGGCTGGAGCAAGGAAGCCTCTCAGGCATTCGAGTCCCTCAAAATAGCAATGGTAACAGCCCCTGTTTTGGCGCTACCAATTTTCAGCTAGAGTTGTGCTAGAAACTGATGCATCGGGGTATGGCGTGGGAGCTGTGATGATGCAAGGTGGGAAACCAATCGCCTTTTTCAGTAAGTTGTTAGGGGTGCGGAATCAAGCCAAGTCAATTTATGAAAAAGAATTGATGGCCATCAGTTTAGCCGTGATGAAGTGGAGACATTATCTTTTAGGCCGAAGGTTTGTAATTCGTACCGACCAGCAGAGATTGCGTTTCTTGACACAACAAAGGGAGGTTGGCAGTGAATATCAGAAATGGATGCGTAAATTGATGGGGATGGATTTCGAAATTCAATACAAACCGGGTCCATCCAATAGAGTAGCAGACGCTCTTTCAAGAAAAGGGGATGTGCAATTTGGGGCTTTGATATCCACGCAAGTGATAGATTGGGCTGCTCTAGAGAATGAGATAAAACTGGATCCGTGGCTGAGCGAATTGAAGACCAAGTTAGCAGAACAAGGAGGTGGGAGTAAGGGGTATGCATTGGTAGGGGGAAGAGTACTCTACAAGGGAAGAACAGTGGTGCCGAAGAATTCGAAGTTTATTCCTATTTTGCTCAAGGAATACCATCATACTCCGATTGGAGGCCATGATGGAGAGGTGAAAACTTATCTCCGCCTGGCAACCGATTGGTTCTGGCCCGGAATGAGAAAGAAGGTGGGAGAGTATGTGCGAATGTGTGAAGTTTGCCAGAGAAGTAAGGGTTCACAGCAAGCAGCAGCCGGGTTATTGCAGCCCCTACGTGTTCAGAGGTTGTTTGGGATGAAATCTCAATGGATTTTATCGAGGGATTACCTCTTTCCAAAGGGGTGAACGTGATAATGGTGGTGGTGGATCGGTTATCGAAGTACAGCCATTTTGTTGGGTTCAAACATCCCTTCACTGCCCTTAAGGTTGCTGATGCTTTCGTAAGGGAGATAGTTCGCTTGCACGGTTTTCCCTCATCCATAGTATCGGACCGAGATAAAGTTTTTATGAGTCTTTTTTGGGAGGAGCTCTTTCGATTGCTAGGCACTCACCTTAAGCGGAGCACATCCTACCACCCCCAAACGGACGGTCAAACGGAGGTGGTGAACAAGTGCCTTGAAACATATCTCCGATGTTTTGTAGCTAATCAGCCTAAATCTTGGGCAAGTTGGCTTCCTTGGGCAGAATTTGCTTACAATACATCACCCCATATAACCACCAAAATGACCCCTTTCAAGGTGGTATATGGAAGGGATCCCCCAACGGTGTGGAAATTGAAGGAGAATTCGACTGCCGTGAAGAGTTTGGAGGAGGGGCTGAAGGAAAGGGATTTGATTCTTGATGAATTGCGTATGAACATTAATAGAGCCCAGCAACTCATGAAGGAAAACGCGGATGGCAAGAGAAGGGATTTAGAATTCAAAGTGGGAGATTGGGTGTTCCTCAAATTACAACCATATCGGCAACAATCAATTGCAAGATGCCCCTTTGAGAAGCTAGCAGCACGCTACTATGGCCCTTTTGAAATTTTGTAACGAGTTGGGAAGGTGGCATATCATCTGAAGTTACCAGAGGGGAGCAAGGTTCACTCAGTCTTTCACGTATCTCAGTTGAAGGAGGCTGTTGGAGGGGCTCCTGTGAACCCAACAATTCCAACCCAACTCACAGACGACTTGGAGTTGGTGGTTGAACCAGAGAAAGTGCTGGCAGTGAGACACAAGGCGGAGAGGGGAAGACAGAAAATTGAGGTGCTCCTTAAGTGGCTTGGGTTACCTGAGTTCGAGGCTACCTGGGAAGACTATGAGACTATTAACCTTCGGTTTCCATCTTTCCACCTTGAGGACAAGGTGAATGTTCCGGGGGGGAGTATTGTCATGGATTGGGTCGAGCCTACACAACAGCCCATAAGGGTATATGAGAGAAGGCGCAGAATCAAGGCACAAGATCAGCAGCAACAGCAGGGTACTCCAGAACAGGACAAAACAAATTAATACTCCACTATAGAATGTGGTGAAAGGACTGCTGCAGTGAAGGCCTCCCTTGTGGCAGAACAGGACAAAGTTTTTTAATGCTAGGGTTGGATTGCTTGCATAAGGAGCTTGGTATATACAGTGAAGTAATGAAACAGTAGAGGCATGTTGAGAGAAGTATTGTAGTGAGTAGAATTTCAGTAGTAGTAGAGTAGTGCCTTTTTGTAGCCGTTAACATCCAAGTAAATCAAGTTCCAAGCTTTCCTCTTAACAAGACTCTATTTTTATTACTATTACATTTCTGTTACAACATTTGAGAGTAGCTAGTACATTGCATTTTCATGGAGCTCCATACTCCTGGCATAGTGACAGTTTAAGATATATTTTCCCTGCATGTGTAGAGAGGTCTCTATTAAACACGTGATAATGCATATAGTGACATGGTTAAGTTGACTGCTTAAACTTTTTTCTAGTTTACATATGAGATTCAATGGTTCTTCTGGATAGATCATCTTCAAAACAGCTCTAGTAATCTAGTACTATGAAATTAAGAGCAATGTCAGAGCATCTTCGTCTTCATCTTGAACTCCATTAAATTCTGTGCACTGACTTTATAATGCCTTGGCAATGTGATTGCAATCTCTATGACTTAACACCGTTATGCCAGAGTTGATGGCTGTTTGATATGAAGAATGTTTGAAGTCAGTGTTGTGGCAGCACATATATTTTAAGGACTTGTTAGAACTTACTTTATACGGAATACCTCTTTCCAATACCAGCAATAGGAGTAGGGCTTGAATTTTTCATTAATTCTATTCTATTTTGAGAAAGAAACTTAGCAGGTCATTTGACTCAATTTCCCTTTACTTGCTTTTTTAGGAATCTTATGAGAACTTCTAAATTAGATTATAACCTACTGTTTAAGGGCATAACTGGAACTAGTTATCGATTTCCTGCACTAGCTTGGTGCTTTATGGGAGTTTCTCACTTTCTGTTTCTGAGTAATACACCTTTAAAGTTATCCTAGAAAGTAGAAGCTAGTAAAGTACTGCCTTGAGACTTTCTTGATGGCGGGAGTTGTAATTGATTAAGAAACTAAACAGGATATGGTAAGATCAGAAGAGATTTCCTTGATGATGTAGATGTGGGATTTCTTGCTCTGGTAAATATTTTGATGATGTTTATCTTTGTTTAGATCATTTATATCAACAGCAGGCAGCTGGCAGCAGGAATACGCAAAGTTGATGTTTATCACATGGAGGTGCCTGGGATGATGTATGACCTGTGGGTAAAATGATATGGATGTGATCGGTATGAGATACTGACTCAATGGGCATATCTGTAAAGATGTTAGCTAAATGACATTGTCACTTGATTTAATGATTTTGATGCCCTCATACATGTTATTCACATGTAGTCCCAACCATATGAGAACACTATTGACTATGTAAGTAGTGTAGTTATTTAGGATATTAATGGCTCACATCACAAGTTTGCATGTTAGTTCATGTTGCTAACTTGTTTAATTGTTGCTCATTTATACCGAACTGTGGTCTATTTGGGTTCCATGAGTCTAGAATGGTATACAGTACAGTTTGCCCTTGTTTAGAATATATGTGGATATTGTAAACAAATCTATTTAGTACTTACTACTTAGATCAGAGTCCAACTAACGTGTGGTTTAGAGATATGGGAATTTTGAAATGCTCTGTTTTGTTTTTTTTTTAAGGAGAACAAGGAATAAGAAAAAATGGAAATATATTTAAACATGAATAGTAATAATTATATTACGAGAACCATCTGTAAGTCTGTAACTGAATCAATGATATTATGCATATTAGGAATTTTTGTAACTCTGACTTATACAAGTATGTGGATTTTATTGTCTTTCATTGTATAGGTATTCTATATACCAATAATCTCTGAGTAAATAATTCTTACAGTATTACAAGAGTGGGAAGACCTCCCGTAGGCTGTAGCCAAGGAAAAAAAAAAAAAATTGTTGATGGCTTAAGCTTAGACATAGCATCGGTTTCCTCTATATACTCCTGAGTGATGAAATCTTCTGTTTGTAATTCTAAGCAGAATGAGCAACTTGAGCCAGGAAGTGAATTCTGATAGCAAAAATTATTTTTCCCTTAGACTGTCAAGGTCCAGAGAATGCTTCAAGTCCTGCAGTATCGAAGTAACTCCAGTTATCGCTGGAGAATAGATCTGCTGATGTCTGTGATTCATGAGCAGGTGGCAACGATGAATCAAATTCCTGCATCTGAGCTATCGGCTGCCATGTGAAGCCGGATAAATCAGAGTCTTCTGACCAGAAAACATCTTCTATAATGTCGTCGAAAGAGGCCAGATCAGGGTTAATGAAACCCTGATTCACCTCATCTGCTTGAAGTTGTCTGTGATCAGATGGTACAAGATCGAGAAAATCATCTGACAACTTCTGATACTCTAACCCATTCTCCAGTCCGCAGGAGCTGGATATTGGGGAACCATAAGAAGCTTCAGAAGATGTGTTTGTTGTTGCCTCGTTTATTTCATCATTGACATTTTCTTGCCCAGGATTTAAAAACTTAGCAAAAACTGCAGCCATGTCAATGTCAGGACAACCCGACTCTGAACAAGATGAAGACGAGTTAGATGATGGATTATTATCAGAACGAAGACCCGTTAAACCACTCGAAAAGCCTTTAGTAGACCTTGAACGACGGCTCTTACGACATCCACCACCAACAGGGACATTCCTAAGAGACCCACCCCTAGTCCAATACCTCCTACACCCCTTGCAGAAGAATCTTGGCTGGGACAAGCTGTAATTATTGTAGTAACAAAACTTTGTGTTTGATGAAGCACAACGCGGACAGTTAGGAGCAGGGTTGATACTGACCCTCCATCTACTGTCCGACGTCATAGGCAATGGCCGAGGTGGTAGAGTTTGAAAAAGATGGTCATTCGGGATACTCATCATAGATCAAGTAGGTGATTCCAAGGGACCGATGAGTAAGCAATACAATACGATTTAGCTCGAGAGGACGAGAGATAGAGAGATGGATAGAGAGGGTGAGGGTGAGGGTAGGATGGAGGACAGAGAAAATGAGTGTATATATAAGGAAAGGAGAAAGAGTGAGAGAGCAAGTGCAAATGTGCATGTGTGTGGACTTAGAAATGTGGGGCTGGAAGTTAACGTGGGCGGTGGCTCACTTCGGGCGAGCCGTCAGCACTAAGAAACTGAAACACGGGGGGAAGTTAATTATGATATGATATCATGTGATCCAATTAATTTTTTAATTTTCATGCTAATCATCAAAGACTGTATCTATTGGTCCAACTTCATTATAGCCGTATCCATCGATTTCTCTTAAAATGTACATTTAATTATGGGGGTACGTGGCGGTATTTTATTGGGGGGCTCACTCCCCCAAAAAATAATGTACCATCTGATTTTTAAGTCAAAGCCTCTTAGTTGTTAATTTAGTTAATTTTACTCCTAAGTCAAGAAGTTGAAGTATTGTGGTGGGGTTTTAGTGAATAGTGATTTACCGTGTCAAATTTCAAGTTAAACAAGCAAAAAACCCTCAACAATTGTGAAATTTGAGCTTGGCTGAAGTTTTGATTGTTCACCGGCTTATAAATCGAAATATTCATGATTGGGTAGTGAAATTTGAAATCACAGGTACTAGCATTATGATTGTAGATCTTTCGGTTTTGACATATGTAGGTTGATTTATTTTTAGGATTGAATCAAACCTTTTTTTTTTGGATGGAGGATTGAATTAAACCTAAAACTTCCTAAGTTGTCGAGTATACTTTAACCAACATTTTTATATTACTCATTTTATGTAGATATATTACATTAGGTGTTTTTTTAAAGTATGACAAAGTGACAAATTGAAAAAGTTGGAATATGATATGAAACACCAAATAAGGTAAAGGATCTCCAAAATTTATGTTGAATGATACAGGTTTGGTAAAGGGGAGATATGTATTTAAAATTTTAAGATGGTCCTTTTCTCTTGTTAAATTCTTCCTAGTACGGTAAAAGAGACATAGGAGCATTACTCATTAGTGCAAACCAATATTGTTGTCTTCAATTACACTTCGTACTTTGGTGGGTAGAATAGTTGGGAAATTGAAGAACAAGTGAAAAGAAAGCCAATAGCATATGCGGCCATATGGGTGGGTGCACTTGTGTTGTGGGTTAGCCTTTTGTGGCTAGTCGAAGGTGGGATCACTTAATAAGCCCGATTTGTGAAACACATTATACATGTATGTGCAGAATACATTCACCAAACAACTACTTTGACAACTACCTCTACGAGTTAACATAAACTTGTATATTATTACTAAATCAGCTAATACAATAACTAATTTTGTTAAACACGTCTCTACAAGGATTAGCAAATGATGGAAAAATAACTTGACTTTCCAATTTGAATGAAATTTCATGTAAATATGATTTGAGATGAAGTCATTTGTAGCAACCTTTTTCGAGAGCATCTAGGCGCATAGGGCCTATGTATTTGGCATGCACATATGAAGGCAATATGAAATTCGGTGGTACATTTTCTCTTTTATTTTAGTATAGTGGTACATTTTTGTGTACTACTATACATGTATAATGTACCATTAAAGTATAAGTTATTTGAATAGTATATTTGATGTACTATTATGCATGTAGTGGTACTTTTTGTCATCATATTTTTCACCTTTAAATTCCCATTATTTACAAAAATGTCATCCTAAGCTATTTGCATCCTTAATACATAGGGACTATGCCCCTAGAGTTTTCCACCTTTTTCACTTCTAAAAAAGTGTGTCATAAAAAGTTCTATGTGAAATTAGCAAGGGTATAAATTGGATTGATTATTGTCTAGAGCAGCATAGCAAAGACCAAAAATATTCTTTGAATTCACAATTCATTTGCTTCCTAAACAGAATTCATTCCTTGTATACAAGTTTTTGTCATGGTTTATCTTACAAAATAATTTTTGGCACTGTAATTTTGTGTCTTGTGTATCACTTGGTGATTACCACAAATTCTCTGACAGAATTTGTTTGTGTTATAATTACGTAAGTGTTCACTAGCCCATTAATTTTAATTAATGGCAGTGAAAATTTGTCAAACTAGTCGCCAACTCATGATTCTTTGATTTATTGAATTCTATTATTTAACATTTTTGTACTTTGATAGTATTATATTATTATGTTATCTTAATTAATTTTAGATCAGAAGTTGGGAGAGACATACTTATATTACACAGAGGCATCTCTCTTGTAATTGTCAGTAATTAAATTGGTAGCCATGAGTCAGACAACTTAGACATTTATCCTCATTTGCCATAGATGTTTCCTTAATCAGTAGCTAAAATGATTTAAGATTGAGTCGTAGCTTCACATTAATTTGTTGAAATGTTAAAAAGTATTTTTAAAATATAAACTTATCTTTTAGATCTTTTTTAAGTAGTAACTTTTTGGTGCAACAAGCCACACCTTGTGTCAGGGGTTACCCGAGTTATTTAGTCAGGGGTTACTCGAGTTACTCGATTAAGGGTTACTTAAGGGGTTCGGACAAGGGTTACTCGAGGGGTTCACTTGTTCAAGAGTTACTTGAGGTGTTATTCGGTCAGGGGTTACTCGAGTTACTCGATCAAGGATTACTCAAGTTACTCAGTCAGGGATTACTCAAGTCATTCAGTTATGAGTTATTTAAGAAGTTCGGTCAGGGGTTACTCTAGTAATTCAGTTAAGGCCGGGGTTACTTAAGGAGTTCGACCAGGATTTACTTGAGGGTTCAGTCAGGGGTTACTCAGTTAGTGTTTACTTGGTCAGAGGTTACTCGAGAGGTTTGATCATGGATTACTCGAAGAGTTACTCGGTCAGGGGTTACTAGAGGAGTTACTCGGTCAGGGGTTACTTGAGGGGTTACTCGGTCAAGATTAACTCAAGTAACCCGTGACCGAGTAACTTGAGTAACCCCGACAACTCGAGTAACCTCGGCAACTCGAGTGACCCTTGACTGAGTAACTCGAGTAACCTCGGCAACTCAAGTAGCCCCGACAACTCGAGTAACTCCCATGTCGCGCACTACAACAGGCCGTATACAAAAAATTGTGTTTTTAAGGTAAGGAGTAGAATTTCAATTGGACCTCAACCCTCATTGTTTTAATATTAATCTAAGGATAAAGTTACCCTAATGTTGATATTTAACTAATTAAGTTGTATCGTGAGACTGTGGTATATATTACATATATATGATCGAATTTTGGATTTGGATTATGTTAAATTATTTTGTCAAAACAGATCGAATTTTAAATAGGATAAATTTTGGATTAAGTCAGATCAATATGATAGATAACTGCACAAGATGTAGATTTGTATATAGCTTTTATCTGATTTTGTTGTGCTTTCAAGCCTTTTGTTGAATTGTTTCACTATGATTATTTTGTATTTATTGGACATTGTTTGAAAATGTATACGAGTATATTACTAACCATAATGTTAATGAATTAGGTTAATCAAATTCTCATAAGTCATAAATTAAATTAAGTGGCTCTTAATGGATCGATCTAAAGGGATATAGCTTTTTTCTAGTGGAGGATCATCCTATAATAATAATAAAAGAAATTTCACAATTACTTAAAATTAATTTTTAAAATATAAAATAAAAATTTTGAATGGTGATTTCGGGAAAAAAGAGATTGGCGAATGTTGAATTAGTGATGACATTGCGAAAGTTCACACTGGAACACATGAACATATGCATAGTAAAACTAAATTAGGGGACAAGCAAGCATGAGATGTCGGCTAGATTATACTAATCGCAAGTTTAGTACGTAATTAACTCATTGGATCACCAAGCTTAGCAGTGAAGTCTGTGTATTAGTACTTCAATCACAAATCAACCAATTGCATGCTCATGTACTTTTATTCATTCCATTAATGTACGTTGTAGTTGTAGTTTTAGTTTTATTTTTTAGATAATGAATCCATAACCTAGGCAAAGGTGATTCATGGGTTTTGAATTTCGATCTTGAATTTCCTTACATATTTTACTAACCAACCTAGGTACCATTAATGAGAATTGAGGCATGCGATAGTAATTTTATTATGTCCACGACCTTCAAAACTTGTATCCATCAATTTAGTACATTTGAAAAATAAAAGACAAATTATGTAGAGTTATAAATGACAAATGATACAAATGAGATAACTTGAATTATGATTGTTGTTGTGTTTACATGATAAAAGATTAGACTTTAACCAGAAATCATCACTTGCAACTTGAAGGAAGTTTGATTCACAAATTGTATGTATATATAAAGGTCTAAATAAACTCAAAATCCATATATTTTGTTTGGTTCAGAAATTTAAGAAGAGAAATAGGTAAACTCGTACCAATACTTTAGAAACTAAAACGAAATTTTTTTAGAATCAAACACATGGTATCATGAATCAAATTTCAAACTTATATTGTTATTCTATTTTCAATCCTGATTCCAAGTAAATACCGGCTATACCACCCTGTATCTATATTTACTTTGGTTCACCAATGGCCATTGATCCAGCAATCCTCCATTTTCCCATCCATTAATAATAATTAAAAGCCCTTAATATAATCATCATTGATTGATTCGTTACTTTTGTTTAATACTCCTATAAGATAGGCTATAGTACCAAATTCTTTTATTCTCAACGTACATTATACTTATGAATATACATTATGATAAATCTATGAGCCTTCTTTTTAGTTTGACCCGAAAGAATCTGCATATCTATTATTCTTTAATTAAATTTGGTAATCCTAGCTAATTATATTCATTCGTATACATTAAGTTTGATCATGTTAATCATGCATCGAAATGTGAAACCATTCATCACTCAATATGTGCATCCAAAGGTCAAACCCTTTTTAAATCGCTAATACTGTCTACTTAACTTTGTATTTGGGTTTACGAAAAGAGATCATAGTTTAATTACAATTTTCTTAATTATTATTGCTTTTTTTTTTAAATGGAAATAAATCATAGTATTGATTAAAACCTTGAGGTCAACCATGTCAAATATGTATACTTTAACTTTATGCTGGTCAATAGTTTGCCTGTGTACACTGTACACAACAGCGTTACTCATTTATTTATATGAAAAAGGTACTAATTTATAAAGAATTAAAGAGGTGTATTAATAAGTTGGCTCAAGTGGTAAATATCTTGATATCACTTATAGGAGGTCTCGAGTTCGAGCCTCAGCGTATGCCCAAATTATCGAATGTAGTCGGAGCTAAGGTTCAGTGAACCGGATGGACATCCTAAAAAAAATATAAAAAGGTGGATCCGATTTCCAAAGGCATAATTGTTATGCAAAATATGATGCATAATCGGGGGTAACTCATACATTTTGTATGTACAGCAATAAAAGGTAATAGAACTACATTATGTCAATTTAATAAATTAGTGTATCACTATACATTTTTGTACCATGCATTATAAGCATTTATAATTCCATTACGTTATTAATACTACAATTCCACAGTTGCATGCTACAAATATTAGCTTCAAAAATATAAAAGTCATCTTTGGTACCATTAT